GGATCCACAGCGAGAACCGATACAGTAAGCCGGCGCCGACTCCCGCAGCCGGGCAGGTGAGCCGCTCCGCACCCGCGGAACCGCTTCTTTGACGGTTCTGCGGACGCGTAGCGGCTCGCCTCACCCGGAGAGCGGTGTTAGTTAAAAGGAGGGTGGGTTTAGGGCAGACCTCTCGCCGCCTAGAAAAGTCCGCCCGCGCCGGCTGCCCCGAGGGCGTCCTGCGCCCGGGGGAACGGGACGGCGGCGGAGCTCATAGAGCGCTCCGTGCGGCCACCCCGCGGGTCGCGCTGCCCGGCGCCGCGCTGTCCCCTCGCAACCAGCAGGCATCAGGTGTAGGGGCTGCCTCAACATCTGGAGGGTCCTCGGGCCTGTGGGCCGCCCACCTTGAGTAGGGGCTGGGAAGAACTCAACCAGGGCCCAGCTCTCCCTCAGACTTGAAAAGCATCTGCTAGAGACTTAACCCCATGGCCCCGTGACTCTGATATCCAACTGAAACAATAAGATCCAAGGGGGGGATATAAGCTGCATGATGACAAATGTTTCGTACGCCCCAAGCACACTCTGGCTTATTTTAACCTTGGCTACAGAGGAGGATGCCTGGGGGCAATGTAAAAATAGATACTTAGCTAAAAGAAGAGAGGTCCCAGCATGGTGCACGGGGCAGCACGTGAGGCACGAGGCTGGGGTTCTGTGGCCACCCACAGCAGCGCTGGGGCACGGGGATCCATGCCACGCTGGGGATAGGAACCTCTGGATGAGTGCAGAACTGACATCATGCACTCCCTCAAGGCACAACCCTTTGTACCCCTGATTCCTGTGTCTCTTCTGTAGGTCTGCTGGAAATCTCCCCTGTGGAAAGAGGAGTGGTGAGCATATTTGGTGTTAGAAGTGGACTCTTCGTGGCCATGAATAGCAAAGGCAAACTCTATGGATCTGTAAGTAGCCACCAGTTGCGTGCCTGGGGAGGGGACCATGGTGGCCTGGAATGAGAGGTGTACATGGTGCTGGAAGCCAGGGCCCCACAGATGATCCTTTATGGTGTGATTAATCAGTGCCTGTCACATACCTATTGATCGCTCCTTGTTAGTACTCTTGATTGGAGAGCTCCCATGAGAGTTCAGCACCTTCAGGGTCCAGGCTTGTAATTATAAGATCTGTTAAGATACAGTGCAAATCTTCTAATACATCTAGTCCATGGAAAAAATACTGGCATGTTTTAAAGCACACTGGGTGGATAGTAACAGTGCACGTCTTAACCCACGTTGAGCTGTCCTACTTTAGAATTCAACTGTGTATAAGTTGCAGTGATTAGCATCATTTCAACCCCATGTTCTTGGATTTCCTTCCCTACCCATGGCCTTTGTATTTCACGTCTCTCAGGAATGTTTTGAAGAAACATGGGCTGAGAAAGGGCCAAATTATGTCAAAGTTGACTAGGGCATTTTCACATGCACGAAAACTTGAATTATCCAGAGCTATTTTCTGTGGCATCAGTCCTGTCACAGAGGATTTTGACTTACATGAAAGCCAGGAATGACTAGTCATCAAAGTGCAAAAGCTCCCTTTGTGCCAAGCCTAAAAGAAACAATATGCTGCTTTGGTGTCCTGGATAAAGCAATTCTCATTGTAGTGTTCAGCCCTGGCAAGCTGAGACCTATCTTACAAAACCATCAGATTTGCCCACTAACAAGAGATGACCTCATTTGTTACTCTCCATATGACACACCTGCAACACCTGTCCCTCTTTGTACTTGCATGTGAAACCCCTTTACTAGAAGCATGCTTTCTGTCAGCTCTGTCTTCCTGATCCATTAACACAGATAAATCTAAGCCCTTCCTTCAATTTTAAAACTCAAGATGCATGTGAAAATGCCCTAGTCAACTTTGACATAATTTGGCCCTTTCTCAGCCTGCTGGTAGGACAACCACTGCTTTGGGAACTAAGGAAACTTACCAATATGTAGATTCAGAAATATCAGTGAGCCCTTGCACTCTGAGAGGGGGACATAAGCACTGGTCTGCCCTAAACCCACAACTAAACTCACAACTCTCATTGCCCCAGTGTCTGACAGTTTCTTTTTCCCTTCTTTTTTATGGAAAAAGCTCATCAGCTGAGCTAGATGATGAGTAGGGCAGCAGAAGTGCACCTGGGTCACTCCTGATGGCAGTGCCCTCTGTTAAAATGGGCCTCTTTCTCTCAGAAGCACAGACAGAACTACAGGGTGTCCTTCTGTCTTCCACATGTCTGTGCCTGGCTAAGGAAGCAGCACCCTTAATAATTGTCTGAGTGTCATTTGAAGCTTCCTTTGGACAACCACTTCAAAAGATTACTAAGGGGGGGATGTCAGCTGCATCTTTTCCTGCAGCATACCTACTACACCTGGTAGCAAGAATATTTCTGCACCTGATGTTTAAAATTCCTTCCCTCTCATTCATTCCTTTTCATTTCAGACCCATTTCAATGATGAGTGCAAATTCAAAGAGATCCTCCTGCCAAACAACTACAATGCTTACGAATCCAGGATTTATCCCGGGATGTACATAGCCCTGAGCAAAAATGGAAGAACAAAGAAAGGCAATAAAGTATCTCCCACAATGACGGTGACACATTTTCTTCCTAGAATCTGAGACATCTCCCTTCCGACCTACCTCAGCACAGGGAAAGACTCAGAACATGTTTGGGAAAAAAGAAACGTGGTGCACTTTTACTGGAGAGTTTTATGCAAGAGTAGGTGTAAGATATTTAAATTAATTATTTAAATCTGTATATATTGCCACTAAATTTATTTATAGTTCTGATTTTTTTTTTTTTTCCTGAGAACAAAACAAACCTCCAAGCCTAGGTATTTCATTTCATGGTGCAACAGTAGGAGATTTTTGCTTTGTGGTTTATTTAATTCGTTTCCTAAGTTATCACAGGTGTGCTGCTACTACGCGTTCTATAACCGGTGACACTCAGTTCCTACTACATTACAACATTTTGCACTGTTGGTGTGTTGTACAGCGTCTATTGTTGTACGTGTACTTGTTTGCTATGTTGGCTTTGTTCCTCTGCGTGTTTTCAAAACCCCCACGACTCCCAGAGAAGCTCTTGGCCTTTGAGAAGGAGCAGCACGGAGGTGCCTGGGTGGGATGCCGGCGCGGAGCCACACACAATGCCTGACCTCCTTTGTGCAGCGTTGCTATTTAATTGGAATGGTATCGGTTTACTTCGGTGCAGAAAGTGCGGTGCTGAAGAGCTGCCCCACAAATCTGTTTTTAGATCTGCCAGTGCTGAACTTTGAACTTTCCTGCAGTCAGTCTTAGGGCTGCCAAGCAGCGGAGAGGTTTAAGCACCTATATAAACTCAGCGGGCTTTTTATTTTCTTTTCTATTTAGATAAACAGGAGCATCATATTTTTTGTGGCCCTTAATGGACGCCGCATTTGATACGATGGCTTCATATTAGGCGAACAAATTGTCTGCTCCTCCCCCAGTGAGCGCACTGGGGCACGTACTGTGATGAACAGATTATATATATTCAATATCAAATTCCCTCTCATATTTGGAGACTACACACATTTGTCAAAATTTGCAAAAAAAAAAAAAACCCAACAACATATTGTAATACTCATATGCTTTGAAAAGCCAAAGTCATTTGCTGGTTCGTTGAAATGCAAGCTCCATAGAGAGAATTTAGATTGATTACAAGTAACCGAGGTTGTTTTGTACTATTTATTATTTTTGGTGCAGTATTTGGAAGGAGAAATATGCTGCTTTTTTTTTTTTCCTGTCTCATTCCCTAAAAAAGTTGATTAATTTCTACCTCACTAACTCTCAAAGCCAACCTCCTAACAAAATCTGCATGGAAGGTACACACTTTTCTGCTTCGTCTTATAATGTTGGAGGAGGGCTTCGGGGAACAATTGCTGTAATCCCAAATCTCTATTTTTTTCCATATGTAGCCAAAAGTATTCAAGATAGAGTCAGATGCATCCTATTTGAGCCTTGTCACGTTTGAGCTATCTTTACCCAGTGATTTACTTTTAGTAAGGATAATCATGGTGAAAATATTTGCAGACAGCTGTCAGGCTGCAGTACCATATCGTCATCAAGTAACCCTATATTTTTCTTTATACATTTTGCAAGAGTAACTCATGTCTCTAATGCGATGAAGGAAGAATCAGGTATGATTATGGCAGAATCTTTAAAAGGATCCATTTTTTCCCTTTGTTCTTTCTTTCTCCTCTTTAAGAGATACGCCATCTTCGTGGCATTGATACGTTAAGTTGTAACCAGGACTAACCACAATGTTTAATGAATTAGAGGATGTTTACAGATCATCTTCCAACCTAAACTAACCATTTCTGACTACATGCAAGTCTCAAGGCCGTGGGTAATTTGAGTTCAGCTATTTTTTTTTCCTCTTACATTCCTACAAGAAAGTATTTGTTCTATTGGAATCATATAGACTTACCTCTATTCTCTGCTTACACATGACCTTGAAGACAAAATCTACTCACCAAAGTTCAGTGAGACCAGAGCAGACCAGGACCACACCTTAAGCCAGCTGCTGCCAAAGCAAAAATACAGTTTAAAAACAGGAAGCCAAATCGGGGAGAGCACCCCAGAGATGTCACACCCAAGGTTGTTTTTTTTTTTTCTGTAATTTGGGGGATTTCTCTACTTCCTATGTGTTCTGTATGTGAGCAATCATTATGTAATTATCACTGCTACCTCTGCTAACAGATGGTTTTGTTCTAGGATTCAGACAGCAAAATCGCAAAGAGTTTCCCTGGGAATGGTTCTTTGTCACTTTTCACGCCATCAAAATCCACAACTGAGAGCCTCGCATAAGATACGTTCAGAGGTGGTTGTTGTAACTTTGAAATATTGTGATAAAACCTAGATGACAATGTTACATGGTATGAGTTTTCACCATTTACCAGAATCTGTCTGTAGTTTTATACAGGTGCTGTTCAAGACTGTGGTGTATGTGCTGTGCACATTTAAATGCACAATAAATGATAAATGTTTACAGTGTATGGCACCCTGGAATTGATTTGACTCTTTAGAAAGGAATGTGTCCTGCAGAGAAAAATTTAGAGCTACTTCACTTTCCCAAAGACGAGGAAGCATTTGCACCTCTGCCAGATACTTCACGAATGACAATCTGGATTTCTTACTCAGCTAAAGTTCACCCTGGAGAGGTTGGAAATTGTCCAGGAAAGCCCAGCTTGGTAAGCTCTGTAATAGATACACATGCTGACATCTGCCACAGATTAGTATTCACGCTTGTATTAATGACAACAGCTTTTCAGGCAGCGTCTCATATTAGCGATCAGAGGCACAAACCAGTTTTCTGTTGCTGGATGTTAGCCTTACACATGAAACCAGATTGCCTTTTCCTTGGTTTTAGAGAGTGCTGCTGTCTCTCTTGCTGCAAAGAAGGATTGCACACTGATGCAAGAGGTTCTAGGATTGATTACCTGTTTGATTTAAGATAGTCTCCTTCTACTGTTACCAATTACACGCGCAACAGTGTATAGAAGTACGAAGTGCTTTGTAGTATGCCTTATGGCAAGACTCCTCAACTTTTATTTATAAACACTCACACGTATGCACTTGTACAAGCACAAGCACACAGCCAAATCTTGTGGTTTGACTCAAGGCCTTCCCTTTCTCGGGACTAAGGAAGGATGTGTTACAGCACCATCAATATTTAGGTTTGAATTCATACTCCTTGATGGCAAAGGGAGTTTTCATTCTCCTAAGGGCTACACGACCCCAGGATACAGATTTTTTCACTTCATTTTCTGGCCCTACTTTGAGCAAGAGCAATTTCTTTCTAAAGTTGCTCAGGCTTCATGAATGTAGCACAGCTGGCTTTTTTAAAAACCAGACAAGTATAGCTGCTCCTATAAGTAGGACCAGAATAAATAGGTAAGGAGACATATGATCATTTTTTCACAGTAAACTGTTTGGGTTTTTTTGTTTTTGTTTTTGTTTTTTAAAATGTAAATTTGTCACTGCCAGGTCTTACCAAATTTTAACCAGAAGTTACAGTTTTGGACATAACATTGTTTCAGCCTTGTGGAGACGTTCAATTATGATTTTAAAATTGTTTTAGAGAGAAATCCTAAGGCTTAGCTGCCAGGAAGTTGAGATTTCAGAGTATGGCTTTGCTGGAGTACCAGCACCTCGTGTATAGTCCTACCCCAAGAGATGTTATGCAGAGAAAACTGGAGAAATGTTCTCTCTCTCCTCTGGCATTCACTTTTGCTCCATTGCTAAGTCAGCTTTTCTCCCATTGCCTTTGGAGGTAATAAAAGTAACGCATGAAAGCTGATAATCAGCTTCAATGCCTCAAAAAGGGCCCTGATACATCACGCATTGCAACATTTCTGAAATCCCCAAGAGCACTGCAGTGCTCCAGGCACTCCTGGTGCCTCTGGCATCCTCCAACAAATATTTCCCTGCACAGAACAACTGAAAATCTTTCCTGATGCAGAATTAGCCCTGTCTGTGATGGCCCAGCCTGTCCTGTCAGGCAAAGAAGAGGAGTTGTGCCAGCCTGGCCCCTGGCAGCAGTCCCAGGGCAGCGCACTGCAGTGCCCTGCCTGCCTGCAGACAGGCTGCAGCAGGCTCCCTGCCCTGTCGCTTGTTTATGGGCTGGCACCTTCCACATGGCCCTGACTCCTCCGTGGCATCCTCTGAGCTGCCTGTATCTAATCTGTGCTAATAAAAATCAGCATGACAAAACACTGCCTCGTATATAAATAGCCACAACATTCAGAGCAGTCACCAAGTTTATAGTTCCAGTTTCGGTTGTTCACACTTTACCACTTGGTTTCCACTGCAGTGTATTAACTAGCCATGCAAGTGGCCAATTAAAGAGAGTCTGTTAAGGGCTGAGGAGCCTTTTGATAAAAACTAGTGAGCACTTCAGCAAGGGAGTTAAAAGGAATTCCCTGAAGCACTGCAGCTCCCTTTGTATGACAAATTATTGTTGTTTTCTACCAAGTGATCTAAATAGAGATGGGGTTGTGAGGGACTGCAATACCTCACTGTTTTCAGGTGATACAGCACATAAAAGGGAAGCACAGCACAATTCCAGTTTCCTGCACACCAGCCATAATTTACAGACCTCAAGCAAGAAATACTACCCTGCTCTGTTTTTAAATTTGTTTGCTTAAAAAAACAAACAAACAAAAAAAACAGCTAAATATCATGCCAAGAAGCAACTACAGTCAGTGACTTAAGGCTCAATAATCACTTGATGTAAAACAATGACAACTTCCAATCTCATAAATCGCACTGTATGTTAAAGCGATGGTTTGCAATGTCTATTGAGCAGATTGATTTTTTTTCTTTTTAAGGTTTTTGAGAAAAGAACATTTCAGTGTCACACTGAAAAATAAGACGTTAGCGTCACCTCTGCCACCAGCTTACCTGCAATGCCAGCAGCGAGGAGCAACAAATGGTCTGGCCCTTCCTTCTGGAATGCCCAACAGGACACCACAAAGCGGTTCAAGAATGGTAAGCACCCAAAACTGAATCCAGCTGCATCTGTGTGGTGCCCTGGGAAATGTCTAGGACTAGCAAACAACTTGCTGTGAATGTTTCAATCTAGGCAGCTTATATTACTGCACCTTTTTGACACCAACATTAATGCTAGTTTCCAAAATACCTACTAACTCCTAGTTTCCAAGATACCATTAAATGATGTTCAAAATATATCTTTTAGTATTATGTCAGAAAATAATTGACATTTGTGAAAAACAAAAGTACTGAACTTGTAACAGTTATGGAAAGCTTGTGAGAAAGCAAGCAGGTATTTCTTCAGGGCATGTAATCAGTAAGCCTTCTAGTTGAAGAAAAAACTAGGAATTGGCACTTGTTCAGCAACTGGTTTGTGTTGGGCAGGTCTCCTAGCTAAAAGCATGCTGCACAACCACACTTCAGTTGAATGTGCAAGTTTGTTTCAGTTTTTCTTAAACTGAGCGCTGATTTGACCTTGGGAATCTTCTAGTGTCATTGCATTTGTGCCTATACAATTATATGTTATTGCTCATCATACTATTTTACTGTGTGTAGATAGAGGAACACTCACTCTCTCTGACTCCCCAGGCTGTGTTGACCTTCGCAGTCCTTCATTCACACTACTTCATATAAGTTAAAGAAAGTGATTTAGTGATGTTTGTACCAATTTACATATTCCAGATTCAAACTTGTTGCTAATCAGGTTACCTCTGAAGTACAAATCAGATCTTTATCAGCTTAAAGGTATTTGGTAAGTGTCAAAGCCACTTGGTAAAACTCCGTGGTTTCTGGTGAGGTTTCTATTTACATCCTTTCTCATTATCTCCACAGCTACATCTGTTTGCCTCCAGTGCCTTCAAGAAGTGTTTGTAATGTTAGCTGGGGCCAGTACAGCTGTTTAATGTCACTGGGGATGAGGGTGCTTGTGGGAAGGAAGGGAGTAACACCTGTGGGACCAGCAGCCCTTAGGCACTGAGACCCCAAACTCCTGAGAACCTCATTAAAGCAGCTCTGCAAGCCTGGATACTCAGCCATGCATGAAGTCCTGGACCTTTTGTCAGACAAACCTCTTCTAGAATATGATCCACATGCCCTGAGCTCTTTCCCAGAGTAGGCACCACCTCACACCCCAGCAGCACAGCAGGGCAAGCGGCCTCCACAGGAGCCTGCCCCTGCTGGCCATGTTGCCCATGCCCACACCTATGCTGATTCCCAGCCCCATTGCATCTGCTGTTCATCTCCCATCTCACAGCCTGGTAAGACCAATGAGGTCTCTCCAGCTGGGCACCCTCCAGCGTGAGGGCCACTCTTTGCCAGGCTTGCACACCCTCTCCTCTTCTCTCCCTCCCCATGCCTTCACATTACCTCTGGGGTGCAGCTCCCCGTCACTCTCCTCCCATGCCAGATCCGGCTCCGATACCTGCCACCAAGCACTCGGTTCTGCTGCGGGCAGGAGCTGGCGCATGATGAGTTACACATTAACTGATGCACTTGGGCTGGCATCTTGCCTGCGCTCTGTCTCCTGGCTGGTACTTCTTTCAGATAATGGCTCTGATGCCGGAGTGCCGCATACTGTTACACCAGGGCGATGACCTGGGGCTGCCCTCAGAGCTAGCTCCAGGAATGGCAGTGCCCGTGCGGGTACGCAGGTGCGGCCCACATCGAGTCTCAAGGAAGCACAGCCATAACATCAACTGCAGTTCATTGCGGCTTTGCCACAACCCTGAGGAAAATGACCTTGGTTGCTCTTTTCCTTATTTCTGGCATTGCTATAGCAGGCCAGGTGACTGACACTGCCTGTCCCCAGTGACACTGTCTGTGCCCAGCCTCCTCCTCCCATCCTGCAAAGGGCTCTGACACCTTTCCTTCTGGTTTTGCCATTTCACCTCAAACTCTTGCTTAATTTTCTGCTCCCCTTTGATTTCTTTGTTGCATTACCTCTTGTCATCCTCCAATTCTCTGTCACCTTTTCTGCTTTTTGCCTTCCCTGAATTTTTTGTTGTGTTAATGCCAACATGCATGGACTACCTCGTATACCCCGGCCAGGGCAGGTGTATTTTCTTACTGCTCCAACCACTATCTGCCTATGGTTTTCATCTTCTGCATGAAGTCCAAGTCCCTTTCTAGGCAATCACAGACTTTCTTACTCACCCACGCTTTATTTCTTCTGTACATTTCACCTCCCTCGCTCCTGACCACCTTCTTTCCAAATGCCCCAGTGTGTCAGAGGGAACTGAACCAGCTTCCATCCAGCCACAGAGGTGAAAAGTTCAGCACACACTTTCCTCTGAAGAGCAAGGTGTTCCTGCCACAGTCTGTAATGAGAGCAGAATTGGGCCATCAAGGGTTTGTTTATCACCCCAAAGTATAAAAAAAACAGGTCCTTTGTGCTTGATGATATGTTATCAGATGTGATTCACTGGGTCATATCTGTTTTGGCAATCAATCACAGCATGGGCAGTTCAGCACAGTGTTTTTT